CTGTGGTGCAGTCACAGCAAAGGCCTCAGCTGTCCCCGTGGGAGCTATGGAGTTGGGACGGCCCTGCAGAGCTGTCCCTCTTTGGGGCAAGGGGGCTGTGGGGGCCACTGGCAGCTAATCTTCCCGGCAACTAGGGGAGGCATGCCTGGGACATGAGGGGGGATCTAGGCAGCACAAGGCACCCCCAGCACTGCCTTTCTTCCTCCACACTCTTCCTCTTACCTTCTTTCCCCACTTCCTCTGATTTAAAAAACAAATCATGAACCTGTTTTCCCTTGTCTCCTCTTTGTGGTCCCCTCAGAACACCTTCACAATTTCATCGCAAGTATTTCTGAAATCAACGCCCAGACTTCCGTATCCCTGAATTGCAGCGCTTTCCTGAGTGCCTGAAGTGACGGGAAAGAGACCTGAGGAAGGGGTTGGTTATTCCCGTTGCTTCTGAGCAGCCAGAAAAGAGGGGGTCCCTGAAAGAGGGAGCCACCAGACTGAGCAGAGTGATAGGACAAATTTTGAAAAGATCCCAAAACACAAAGACAACTGAAATCTGAAAGCCTCCTTTCTTAATTGCTATTCTTCCCTGAGCCGTAAATTCCCTAACAGTTTTTGAAGGATATAGCTGGATTTTGCCTTAGAAACATTACCTCTGTACCCTGAGCACATGGAAAGAAGTTAGTCAACGCCATTGCTCTTATATCCAGCATCTGGCTTTGACTGCAGAAAGGAACCATATTCTTTGAACACGTGTGTCTTGATTTACATACAACCTTCCGAGATGAATATAAATACTTTGGAATAATGCTCTAGAAACGAAGATGTTCTCAGCCTACTCTGAATCAACGACAATTCCTCTTAAACACTGTTGGTTTATAGAAGATTGCCCTAACCCAGTCCATCTTCCAGACAAGGAGCCAGAGAAGAAGGAACTCACAGCTTCCACCCCTCCAGGGCTTGCAAGATCACCCTTCTTGGGAATATGGGATGTGGCAGGGTGACAGTGCCACAGTTGTTTCTTTGTAAATAGTTTTAATTGAACAGGTGTCCTCTCGGAGCTTGGAAATTCCTCTTCGCTTCACACATGTGTTGTGTTGGAAGGTCTCTGCCGCTCCTGACAGCAAGCCGCCTCTCTCGCCTCTTCATTCTTACCAGGATGTGACTGATTAGTTAAAGCACCTCCCCTCTATTTCCAGGCAAAATCCTCATTTGACCTGGTGCAGATATGCTTGAGCCTTAATTTCCTGGCACCTTCACAGCTTCCTCAAGATGGTGTTTATGAATGTTGGGGCTCTCTTCTAGTCTCCCAACTGACAAATTCATGGGCATTACTGTCATTGGAACCCCAGCTTCCTCAGACATATGATAGGGGATTTCAGCCTGTATCTAAGGGGATAAGGGCACCCATCTGTCATTTATGGTTTCTGTGTATTCCTTCCTGATTATGCAAACCCTCCCCTTTCTATTGTTCCTCTTCTATTGTCCCCTTAAGGGACATCAGTGTCCCATTGTGATAAGAACCTGAAAGAGAGGTTGCCAGACAAATACTCTTGTGTTTTTCTCTCTCTCTCTCTCCAGAGCCAAGAACTAGCTGTTTTCCATTTAGCTAGATCACGTCAGAAGCTTTGTATGCCTGTGTGTCATACCCTCTCCTGGGGAAAGCAGTCAGTTTCAGTTTTTTTCCGTGTTTATAGGAGCCCTGGTGGCACAATGGTTAAGCACTTGGCTTCTAACCGCAAGGACAGCGATTCGAACCCGCCAGCTGCTCGTTGGGAGAAAGAAGCGGCAGTCTGCTTCCATGAAGATTTATAGCCTTGAAAACCCGATGGGGCAGTTCTACTCTGTCCCATAGGGTCGCTATGAGTCGGAATTGACTTGACAACAATGGGTTTCCATGCTTACGGATTTTTTCTTTTAAGAGAATAGACTTGCTCTTTTCTGCCTGGTCTGCTTTGTCAAAAAGCCAGAGCCAGTACTCAGCCCCCTGTTGTGATCCCAGATCCCAGCTTCCCCTCAGGTACCTCCTTTGCCCCTGGGACACTGGGCTGTGGGACAGCTGGCCCAGGAGACCAGCAGAGGTGAATTTCCGTGTCTGGCCCTCCCCTGCCTCTCATGCCCACCTGCCTGCTTGGCTCTGGAGACACCTCTGACAGAGAGCAGGGACTGCTGCTACAAGAGGAAGGCTGGGCTCATGCTTCGCTTGTTCACATTACTGCGGGAGCCACGCCTGGGCTGAGCAGGTGGTCACTCAAGGCAGGCAGGCCCCCTAGCCCCAGAGGGCACTGCCTTGAGGATCAGCCTGTGATGTTTCTTTAATAAATTCTTTATCGATACTTCTTTTTGCCATTTCCCATTTTGTTGCTGTTAGTTGCCATCGAGTCAATTCGGACTCGTAGCGACCCCATGTGTGCACAGTAGAACTGCTCATAGGGTTTTCAGGAAGGTTTTCAGAAGCAGATTGCCAGGCCTGTCCTCCAAGGTGCCTCTGGGTGGTTTCAAACAGCCAACCTTTCGGCAGGTCATTGAGCACTTAATTGTTTGTGCCAGCCAGGGTCTCCAGTCTGGGATGTTTCTGCACTGCCCTCCTCTCATCCTGGAGGAAGGAGGTGTTCCCTGGGGGAAGCAGAGGGCACAGGTAGGAAGGAATTAGGGTGCTGCCAAGTCTTTCTCATGACGTCCTTCTAATAGCCCTGGAATGGCTATTAGACGTGCGAGCGTTCTCCCTCTTCCAGGGAAAAGTCTGGGCTCTCTAAACACTCCATTAGAATTGTCTTCGCCTGTAGCATCTTTTTGGGAAATTCCAGCCTCACTGACACATGAATGCCCAGGCATCTGTCATATCCGGCCATGAAGAGCTCGGGTGGCTCCTCACTCCATTCTCGTTCACAGGGGTTGGTGTCTATGTCTCTAGGTCAATTTATGTATTAATATGTCACTTGGTGCATAATATTTAGCCCTGCGATGGAAAACAAATAAGCCAATCCTATGAGGAATTGATTTTCCCTTCTACATCTGTTCATGAAGACATAAATCTAAAGTTTCGCTACTTTAAAAGCCTCCGATGCAAATATAATCTAAAATTGCTAGGCTTTGAAGTTGGGCTTTTCTGTCAAAAGATGTTTATAGTCCTGCTCCCTGGAGCCTGGCTGCTCATCTTCTGCCTGCAGGTCCCAAAAATATTGATTACCTCTTGAGGTCCTTTCTAGTTCATTGCAATCCAAATATGATGTTGTCGCATGCTCCTTGTGCACAACAAGCTCTGTGCTAACACTTAAGAGAGATACAAGAGTGACCGAGGCATGACTTCTGTCCTCAGCTCGTGATATAGCAGAGAACATGAACTATGCACATGAATAACCACAGTGTAAATGAGAAAGTGACCATTACCCTAAAGATGAAGTAGGATGGAAGTGCAAACGAGACAGAGTTTACTTTTCTTTGGGAGGATCCGAGAAGATAACTTGGAGGAAGTAGGGTTTGGGTTGAGCCTTGAAAGATGGCTAGGATTTGACCAAAGAAGATGAGGGAAAGAGCATTCTAGGAGGAGGGGACAGCAGGAGCAAAGGGCAGAGGTGGACAAAGGCAGGCTAAGTTTATTGTTGTTAACTGCTGGCAAGTTGACGCCCAACTCATGGCAACCTTACGCCCAATGGAACAAAACACTACCCATTCCTGTGCAATCCCTATGATCAGTTGCGGATCGGACAATGTTCTGTTGTGATCCATTAGGGTTTTTCATTGGCTGATTTTCAGAAGTAGATCACCAGGTCTTTCTTCCTAGTCTGTCTTATTCTAGAAGCTCCGTTGAAACCTGTTCAGCATCATAGCAACACACAAGCCTCCACTGACAGACGGGTGGTGGCTGTGCATGAGGTGCATTGGCTGGGAATTGAACTCAGGTCTCCTTCATGGAAAGCAAGAATTATACCACTGAACTAACACTGCCTTCAGACCAAGTTTAAGCCATGCCAAAGAGTTCAGTTGGACTGTAGCACAAGGCATAAGAGGGGAGAGAGCTGGGAGGAAGGGCTATGAAAGTGTGCTCGTGGAGGACCAAGAACGTCATGGATATGGCAACGATGATTCCTTATATTTAGATGGCATTTTGCAGTTTCCACAGCTCTCTCACATTCATTATCTCGATGTTCACAACAATCCTGTAAGCAGGCAACAGCAGGGATTACTATACAGGTGAGGAAACTGAGACTTAGAAACTTTAGTCAATGTGCTTTAGGAGACAAAGGGAAATAGCAGAAGAACCAGGATAAAACCCAGGTCTTTCAGTGCTCTGACCAAAGCCCTTCCCCTAAATCGTGGTGGTAGGGGGCCTTCAAGAGAACTTACTGCTTAATATCTTTGCCTTCTCGAAGTGTGTGTTTCTGAAGTTCTTTGTTTTCAGGTTTAATTTATTGGTCTTTCTTGTATAAAGGCATTATGTGGTAGCCACCGCCAAATGGGGGAAGCCACCCATTCTGGTGTGGGTCCTTTAAGATGGTCAGTAAATTCCTGACAGGGAGACATGGTGAACAGTACCTTTCCAGAGGTCAGAGCTGCAGGTCTTAGATGTGGGATGGAAGGTGCCTTGGCAAAGCTGCCCAGATGGCAGTGTAGCCCCTGGCAAAGGTGTAGCAGTCATCAAAACCTGCCATCAGCAGCAGCTTCTTGGGAACAGGGATGGAGACAAAGCTGGGGGGCAGGGATGAGGCACAGTGCAAGGCACCCTATGGAGCTTGCTGGTCTTGTTCCCCAGTAGTCATGCTACGTGGGGACAATAGAAAGTGTGGAATGCATACTTCCTTTGGGCACTTGACATCCAGACTGATGTGACCATTATAGTACTCAATGGCAACAACCACCTTGAACCTGGTCCACTGGCCAGCCTAGGTCTGTTTTTGCAGGCATGATCTTGAGAACTTCATCCTTGAGAAGTGTCCTCAGGAAAAAGCCAATGACCTCAAACTCTTTGATGCACAGTGGGGTGATAAATCTCCTCCAGGGACCTGATCGTCATGTCCTTGACCCAGCAGCCTGGCTTGGTGATGGGGACCCACTCCTTATCCTTAATTTACCTCCATGAGCTCCAGGGCCTCGGCTCACCATAGCTGAGATCCTGGCCCTAGCCACTGCCTTGGCCATGACCTCGCATTCCAGGATAACCCAGGGCCTCCAGCCCTTCCTGCTGCAGCTGCGTCATTCGCCATTAGCTGTTTTCTTGGAGAAGTGTTCATGCATTTTCATATCACAAAACTGCCATGGTTGGAATTCTGTGAGCCACTCCCCTGCGGAGCTCCCCCTGACAGCACCTGGATGGTAAGAGATTGGACATATAAGTCATTAGGTGCTGGGTAAGTTCATCAGCTTTGTTTGCCATCCTATTTGGCAAATGAGCCAGAAACCAGAGCATCGATGAGTGCTTTGGGGGCAAGGGCTTTCACAACAGGGAAGGAAGCAAGCTGGCCTTGCAAGGGGAAAGAATGACGTAGACTGATTCTTGGAAAAATAGCACCTCCTGGGCAAAGCTACTTGAGGCCAGGCCTAGTGGTCAGACCAAAACAACAGAGGGAGACTCCAAGCTTCGCCCAACCATATTCTGAAGAGTTACCATGTCACGAGTCATTCTGGACTGAGAGAAATAACCAGAGATGTGAGTGGAAACTTCTGGGCTGTCATCCTAGACAAGTATAGGAGACATCTTCAGGCTAATCCTTGGCTGTAGCCACCTCAAGCTGGATCCCAGATGTGACACATGAGGTCCAAGGTGGCTGGCGGTGACCCCCGAGCCCATACTCAGAGAACCAAGGCATTGTGATGCTGTTTGCTGAGAGAAGTTGGCATAGAAACATTCAGATTTTATGCTTTGTGTTTGCTCTATTTAGGAGAGGGGAGTGAGTGGACTATCAAGTCCTTTTATGCTGAACTGAGGGAGATAATTTTGCCCAGTCTGAGTGTGGTCAGCGAGGGGGAGATCCAGCAAGCCTGGAGAGGAAGGTTGGGTCTGTTGCTGGGGGTCCTTTCTGCCCCTAGCAATCATCCTTCGTGGCCTTGGGAGGCTCTAATGAGGCTTTATAGTAACCTTTACCTCAGTCCTGGAGGTAATCCTGGTTTCTGAAATCCCCCACCTCTGGCTCCTGAGCCATTCTTTTCAGAGAGAACTTCCAGAGACGAAGAGCCGCACTGGCCCCTCTGCTGAGTGGTTCCTCCCAGGCAGGCCCTGTGAGGCCCAAGACTGCTGGCCTGAGGATGTTTCAATGGAGGGAAGGGCTGGAGTGTTTCTAAGGACAAGGTGGCTTGCTGGTGGGCTGGTTATATGTTAGTGTGAGGAAACCTCTTATTTTAGACTTGGGTTAACGGTTTTATTTCTCATTTCAGTCACAGTGGGTTTCTTAGCCACAGTGAAGGAACTGGAAGGCTACAGTGAGAAGGCCTACGTGAAGCTTCTTTTTTGTTTGATTTCCAAACTTGTGAAATTTGGCATGTTTCTTCTTTTGCCACAAGAGTTTGAATTCTGTGAAGGAAAAGTGTTGCACTCCCTCCTCCCCAACTTCGCACCCTGTCCCCAGAAAGAAAGGTAGATACATGGGGACAGCTGGGGATGGGGATAGAGAAGGCCAGGGGGACAAGAACAAGTGGGTCTGCTCCCCAGACCCATGAGCCACGGCCATACAGACCCAGAATCACCTTTCGGATGCTGTGATTCCCTGACAAAGGGGAACAGAGCAAGGGAGGAAGAGATGGGCCCAGAGTGAGGAGCCCGTTCACTCAATTGCAGCTACAAAAAGGGGACCTTCATAGCCCCCTACTTGGACTAATTAGCCCTCTCCCTGTTATAGATTGAATTGGGGTCCCCCAAAACATGTGTTGGACTTGGAACTGCTATACCTGCGGATATAACCCCTTTGGGAACAGAGTTTTCTTTGTTATATTAATGAGGCCCTATCAGTGCAGGGTATGTCTTAAACCGAATCAGTTCTGAGTTGTACGGAGCAGCACAGACATAGAGACAAGGAAGCACAAACAGGGGGAAGATAGATGCCACGTGAAGATTGCCAAGGAACCAAGGAACATCGGAGCTACAGAAGCTGAGATAAGGACCTTTATCCAGAGTTGACAAAGAGCCTTCCCCAGGAGCCGGTGCCATGAATTCCGACTTCTAGCCTCCTACACTGTGAGAAAATAAATTTCTATTTTTTAAAGCCACCCACTTGTGGTATTTCTGTTACAGCAGCACTACGAAACTAAGACAGCCCTAGACAGGCTCAGGTGCACAGGCCAGCTATGTTTTTCAGAGTAGGCTCCCTGCAGTGACAAACAGCCCCCAAATCTCAGGGGCTTAACGCACTACAATCCCACGCAGATCAGCAGGAAGCTGTGCTTCCTACAGTCATTCAGGGACCCAGGCTTCTTCTGCCTTGTGGTTCCACCATCCCCTGAGGCCCTGGGGTTTTGATTCCCACCAACAGAGAGGAAGAGAGAGTGGAGGATTGTGTGGGAGGTTTTATGGGCCAAGGCTGGAGGTGGCCCATATCACTTTTCTCCACTTTCCATTGGCCACGCTTAACTTCCAGAAAGACAGAGAAATGTGGTCTCACTGTGGGCCCAGGTTTGGGGAGCATCCAGCCAGCCCCATGACATCCCATTCCCGTTGAAAAGAAGATAATAGATGGTCTTTAGGACAACACCTGCCATCCTCACTGACATAGATACTTCCTGGCTCCACAACCCTTACCGATCCTGTCTCTCCACGACTCCCTCCCTCCCCTTGGCTTTCCCTCACTTTCTCCCCACTCCTGACACTAATCCCTCCCAGGGGACGTGGAGGTCGTTTCTAGCCATAGTTCTTATGTGGAGGAGATGAAAGAAGACATTGCTGTTCTCACCCTCATTGTTTTTAAAATGCGAGTGGAGTCCCTGAGTCGTGCAAACAGTTAACATACTCAGCTGCTAACCGAAAGGTTGGTGGTTCCAGTGTACCCAGAGGTGCCTCAGAAGAAAGATCTGGCAATCTGCTTCCGAAAAATCAGCCGTTGAAAACCCTGTGGAACACAGTTCTCCTCTGGCACACATGGGGTCACCTTGATGGCAGCTGTACTGGTAAAACAGGAGTGATGCCCCTGACTTTTCTCAACAAAGGAGTCAGTTATGAAGACGATGCTGTGGCACTTTGGAAATAACAGCGTGCTGCATCTGCCCAAGAGAGCAAGAATCACTGTAGCTCAAGAGGCTGTAAATCCTCCCCAGCTGACTGCCCCGGAGCTGGACAGGACCCAGCGCCTGGGTTAGTGGAAAAGGGGCAGCGATAGTGGTGCTGCACAGGGGAAAGGGCCTCTTTGGTCCGACAGGCCTGCCTTCTCCAGACCTGGGGGATTAGGCTGTAGCCACCTGGGCCGGGGAGGAATGTGCTGAGCCAGAGGCCTGGCCATTAGCTGCCATGCCTGCTGCCTTGCTGAGACCTGGCACAGCTGGTCCACCTAGACGGGGAAAGATGGAGGGCTGTAGGGAGCAAGAGTGGTGTTAATGCTGCCGTTTACGAGGATTTATTTGTGCTGGGTTCTGGGGCAAGTGCTGTTTCTGATCGTCAAACAATTCCACAGGATGATAAATGTGAGTTGTGGAGTCTGTTTGGGGACTGTGTGGCTTTGCGTCCAAGCTCTCTAATGGCACCCTCTTGGGCTAGTTACTTAATTGCTCTCTGCTTCAGGGTCCTCATTTAAAATGGGGGTAAAAAGGATCGCATTTCACAACTCAGGGTTGCTCTTGGACGTTCTAGGTAAGGGGGCGAAGGGCAGGGTCTAAGGGGAGAAGCAGGAGGCAGAGGGGTGGAGCCCTTGCCCTCAGGGGACATAATCCTCACCCCCAGGAGTTGCTGGCAGCCAGATTTTCCTGGCTCCTGGGGGAAGACAGATTCCTGAGCCCAGTGTCATCTTCTAGCAGCAGATCATCAGACTTTTATCTGACACTAGCTGGGTTGAGGGCGACGGTGAGCATTAAATGAAATAACACACTGAAAACGTCTAGAACAGTGTCTGGCTCATGGCAAGTGCTCAATAAATGTCAGCCCTTATTGTTATTTCCATTTTACAGATTAAGGGACCAAGGCTCAGGGATATTAAGTAATTTTTCCAAGGACTCACAGTGAGTGATCGGGCTGTATTTGAACCCAAGACTGTCAAGAGTCTAAGATCTGTGTATATGTGTGTGTGTGCTTGCATGTTTATATGAGGCTAAAAGATGTTGGCCCTTTGCTCATCTAGTCCCTTAGAAGAGGGATATGATCTTGAGAGTTGGGGTTTCTAAGGGACATGGTGGAGTCCTGGTGATGCAGTGGTTAAGAGCTCAGCTGCCAACCAAAAGGTCGGCAGTTTGAATCCACCAACTGCTTCTTGGAAACCCAATGGGGCAGTTCTATTCTGTCCTATAGGGTCGCTATGATTGGAATCAATGTTTCAACAGCAAAAGGTTTCAGATTTAGGGGCATGGAGCTTAGAAAGAAACCAGAACTGTGTGGACAAGGGACACATGTCTTTCCTAACATTCCTCTATCCCTCTTCTTCTCCCTTTCCCTGATTTCTATCCCTGTCAGTTGCCATTGACCCCACGTGTGTCAGAGTAGAACTGTGCTCCACAGAGTTTTCAATGGCTGATATTTTGGAAGTAGATCACCAGGTCTTTCTTCTGAGGCATCTCTGGGTGGACTCAAATCACCAAGCTTTTGGTTAGCAGCCGAGCACGTTAACCATATGCACCACCCAAGGACACCAATCCCTGCACCTATCCCTCTCCTCCACCATCCCACCACTCACTGCCCCCAAGTGAAAGTTTCTGTCTTGCCCACTGGCCAGGTCTTCCTACTGAGGAACATAGGAGGGTAGAGTAGCCTGTTCTGCAGTCTGTCTCCACTGGGGCAGGTCCTTGCAGCACCTTTTCCTCAGGTAGACACATCAGTTACTCCCAGACTCATTTCTGAAGACAACCTAAAACTCAAATTTTCTTAGTGGAAGCCCAGGGTGCCCCACCCTAGGCCCAGAGAAGAATCTCT